TATTATGTCTTTACAAAAAAATTATATTGCTCTACACGTCAAACAAGTGAGATTACAAGATGTATTTCAGATTCAATTGTTGGTTTGTATTTGACTGGGAAATCACGGTATTTTATTACAACCATTGATATGATGAATTCAGTATGAATTTTATAATTACTGATGACATGTTTGTCGATATCAAATCTTAAAAATAGGTCGTTAAAGAAGACACATACCGCAAAAAGGAGATCAAGTGGATAATTTAAGAAAATGCCTATACCAAGTCAGGAATATGACAGTTGTTATCCATTCGTTTGATCTGTTTGAGCTTTTGATTTTGCCATTTGATTACGGACTTTCCGTTTTGAATTTTCCTCGGAGTTCGGTATTTTTGTTATTTTACCTTTGAGTAAATACGAAAGCATCTGAAAATAAACGAGTTAAGAAACACAGACATGAGAGAGCAACGATTTTTCCGCATCCCGAGCCCCAGACCCCCAACCAAGGTTTTGATGAATAACATAACACAATAAACTACTTTTCAAATACTGTTGAATGCTTACTAGTCTGAGTCGGTCACAAACTAACACACATTGCGCGGTTAGACATTTACTCTACATGTAGACATCATTTAAACTCTGTGGAAGGAAAATTCTGCTTAATTCATATGCCTGCTCTTTCGTTTTTAGTTTCATAATACTATTTATCATACGCCACGATATTTGAAACGAGTGGCATATACTATTAAATCTGTTACTTCGACTCGCATTTGTCTGTTCGTCTTTCCGCCCCATGTTTATATCTGCTACTGATCATAAACCGCTTCATATAGCTATATACGCGTAGAATGTGAAGAAACTTTAGAAAAATCTCACTTATTTAAGTTGTTTTGTACCTTCTATGCCATTTCTATGATTTGTTGTTTCCTTTTTTGGTCGTATGACTTTTGACTTGACTCGGTATTTATGCATCCTGCCATCCTGTTTTAGACTTTTTAACTTTGAGCATTATCGGATCAGCTGGGTCCTAGGGTGCGATTCGGAAACAAAGGTTTTTACAGTGTTGTTTCTATTTTATTTACCCTTGTATTTATATTTACCTAAATCTCATTCTATTGAGAAAGTGTATACTATAAACGGTACGCATGTGCTATCAATGACAAAAACGTTTTTTGATGATGTCATTGACAACGTCAAATTTACTATCTACTACACTTTTTTGTTGGCGTCTTTGTCGATTTTTATGTTTTTTAAATTCATTTGTCAGTTGTGGTGTACGTCTGTGATGTTTATATAAACAATGTTAGCTGCTGGGTCCCAATTATTACCACATTACTCTATTATGTCTGTTTCGGTTGCACATCCAATTTGTTTCAACATAACGGAACTCTAAATAACTGTCATACAATTTGGAGGTTAAGCTAGCTATAAAACCAGGTTTTACCTACCATTTTCTTCGAAAAATGCCTATACAAAGTAAAAATTATGGCAGTTGTTTTTCATTTGTGCCGTTGATAAATAGCGTTTTAGTTTTTTTTTTTTTTTTTGACTTCCCCTTTTTGAATTGCATGGAGTATTTTTGGTTATACATTTTTACTCGGCATGACATGGACTTTTTCATATCATTAAACTATAGAACCCATTTGAATCCGCTTTTCCCCCTGAAGTTCTACATGTAATCAGGACATGATGAGACTTTCGCAGATTCTTCACAATATAATACAAGTGTGCATCTCTTATTTAACAATTTTCTTTCAAAAGATCATATGAACATTACCATTTCGTTTTAAGTGTGGTACCAATTTTGAATCGGCACCTGCTTTTACTTTCCATAAACAACATTTTCTGAAACTATTCAAAATATTCATAATCTTCGTTATGCAATATAATTGTACCCTAACTGTTTTTTATCTTTTTAAATTGATCGAATTTTCGTTATAAATAATTAAATTTGCCATTGCTTTGTTTGTGTGCAAGAGCCATTTTGTGAGTTTTCCTCGCAGTATTTAGTTTATAGATAAAAACCTTGTTTCCTAAAGCTCCTTTAGTTTTGTTTTTCTAATGTATATGTATTTGTACACTCCATACGTCAAGAAGATACTAAATTATGTAGTGTCAGATACAATATAAGCTTGAAAGTGAATGGCTTTTCGGGTAGAAACAGGAAATACCGGTCTTAAAAGGAATAGATCTTCCTGTTGAAATTTCTAATTATTTTCTCAGTTTTTCACTTGCATTCATGTTTTTGATATTGCTTCTCTATTATTTCGATTGTATTACCCAAATATCATTTATCCTTTATCTTTTACCAGTTTTCCTTAAGTCGTAATTTTAAGTCTATTTTTCGCCATTCTCTGTTTGGTTTGCCCATTTGTCTCTATTTCGTCAACCCCAACCATTCACAAAAAAGTCGGTCAGAAATCAAACTCTCAACTTTCTGAACTCTAGTTGAGCACGCTACCGTGTGCATACAAAGGCGAATTACAAGCTGATGAAAGTGCAACTGATTAAATTATTTTTTCTTTGCGTTTCCAAGTTTACGCTGATCAATAAATACTGTATCTGTGCGATAATTTACAATTAGGTTATCTAATAAAACAAAAAATCGTATTTTCGCACAAACACAAATTACATGATGACCTGTTTATTCTAGATAAGTTTGCAAACAGCTACAATGATATGATAATCAGTTAAGATACTGGGAAATGTTATATCCTGTTGACTGATAGATTAATCTCACCTCATTACTGGCTGTCACTACTACAAAATGAGTAGTATATAGATATGTTTGCTATCGTGTCCAGGAGAATGTTCTATGCTGTTCCAATTGCCGTTGCATTGTGAACAGCAGTATTTGATATGTAATCGATATTGCACCTCTATCTGCACTTTCCGGTAATAGGGTGTGTGAGTCATTGAATAGTATATGCCTTACGAGGTGAAAAGATACGTCCTTGTGAAAGAAGAGTAAGAATGCAAACTTGATATCTATGTTTCTTGTTGGCTTTGCTTATTCGTTTACGCATATACCACTCTTTCTTTAAATGTCTAATATATTGAGCTAACTAGTGTATAAAAAATTGGTATTTCCTGGACTGAAGCTATCAGTAAATATCATTCGAAAGAAGGAAGACATTTCGGCTATGCGGATTCATAAATAGACACCCACGTCCGTCCAGAATGGGAGCAATACAAATCCAATAATTCATGCAAAGAGAATGCCATGCTCTCTGCATTTAAACTATTCCTTGCCTATTGTAAGGGAAAATGTGTACCCGTAACTTACTAGCACCCTTACAGTCTAATTATAGTTGACACTACCACTCTTTATCCCAATTAATACACTGTATATCATCACTATCAGATTTAATATCAATCGAATCTCGTCTTGAAAGGCGTGATTTATGAGCACCAAACGAAAAATAATATTTTTTTTTAGTTTTGCAGTATAGGAACATTGAAATTGCGGACATTGCTTTTTTTTTTTTTTTATTTTTGGTAAATTGTTTCAAGTCTTATATAGAACCGACTTATTTCTGAAAATACAAACCTACGAAAGAAGCATATTGTATGATGAATATAAAAATAAGAAGATATAATTGTCAATGAGACAACTCTCCACAAGAGACCAAATGACACCGACATTTACTACTAAAGGTCACTGTACGGCCTTCAACAATGACAAAGCCCATACCATACCATGTAATTTTAACTGTTTATGTGCAATGCAGTTCCAATTTATTATTTAAAATCATTACAACATGCCTTTATAGGTAAAACAATTGGAAATTGGAAAGAAATTCGTAATTTTAAAATGCTTTTCAGATTTATAATAAGTTATCCTGTTGAAAAGCCTTGAAGGCGCAATAAAATGTAAAACAAAATTTACAGTTTTGTTTTAAATTATATGAAATTAATTTAAATCTATTTAAATTGCATATTTTTGTATCTAAAAAGGAATGATGCAACATTTATATTTAATGGAATACAATCAACAACAAAATTAAGGAATGTTTGTGACATATATTATTTAATATGCAGTGAATACACGTACAAATTAAAGCGCCGTAAACATGCAGTATTTTCTTTCAAATAGCATTTTCTGGTAACAACATTTAACTGGAGGATGATTTATAATAAATCGAAATACTGCCCAGTTAACATTGTTTTAAAAGAGCATGTGGTGGCTTAAATTATTTTCTTTATGATTCCCCAAATAAATTTATATAGGGACAACCCGATGTATTTTGGTTTTTAAATCATCAAAGTTTGACTGATGTACACAAAATGTATGAAATAAAGATATAAACTGTGATTTCGCAGTGTAAATGTTATGAAAGGAACTAGGACGATCTTGAAAATATTCCAAATTATAAATAGTTCACATAAAGTTCAAGTCATATTTCTAGTTTTAATAACATATTCAAGAATAAAAAAGAATTTGTTTTTCTAGTTAAATTTACTCATTTAAAGATATCCAAAATAAAATACGAATTATTTCAATAAATATTAAGTGAAGGAATAATAAGTTTAATTTCTAAGGAACAAATGATTAACTAAAGTACATTATCAGGAGCTGAAAAAAACAATAAAGTATATTATCTATATCACGGAAAATGAAATGTTTGCCAAGAAGTACGTAGCATTTCGATTTATCATCAAATCCAAGGTTAGAACCATATTCATAAACACACAATTTAGCTTCAGCCTCATAAATATTCATTAATTTACTGGGTCACAGAAAAATGTTTATAATGACCAATCAAAATGCAGAGCTACGACTGATTGATGTATCACTGAATAAATAAAATACTAATTATAAATTAACAAATCTTCGATAACTTTTATTATAAAGATAGAAAGTTCAAAATATTTTCGAAAATTAATTTTATTTAATTTAAGTAATAATTATCCTGATGCTCTTTAAATACTATTAAATACATTCTGTAAATTCTGAAGCAGTAGTAATTTTGGCAACAATTCAATTGTTCAAAAAAGAAAACTGGTTTTGGCTGGGGTGCGAGAACGCCAGGTATCAATAGTCACTACATAAACAATGTTTAGTCATTTGGCCAACGTTCTTGCATTAACCAGGAAACTGAGTTTCTTTTGTTTATTCTATTTAAAAGGTAAGCTAGATTTATTTATTTAATATTTAGGTACAAAGATTTAATATCTTTAATATATCAAATGTAAATTTATAAGGAAGAAGTTGTTTTCTTTATATAATTTGGTTTATATTATTAATAAATTTTAATATTAATATAATTGTCAGATATCTATTCTATTCGAGTAGTTTATTATATTCAGATAAAACTTTGTAGTAAATGTATTTCATTAGGTTATTTGTTTATTCGATAATAAATCGGATGAACGTAGTTAAATTAAAAGCAGGTGCTATACATGCTATAAGCGTATTACATTGATGCACCTAAACATCATAGTTAATTGGCTCACCATTTATCAGTTATTGTTTGTAATATCTACAGCAGAAATACATATATTGTTAAGTTCCGTCACAGCATAACACTCTCATGACGTAAACAAAATATGTCTTTTTGATAAGTTGTACACTCTACCTATTTATACTTATACTGACTTTTACTGAAACAAATGCCGGCCGACTTCATATAAATCTTATGTAATGACAGCAGAAAGCCGTGTAAGTAATTTTTCAAGCATTATATTTAAAAAACTCTATTCTTTACGTAAAGGAATATACTACGCTATCTAGCAGGAAAGACTGAAAGCTAATGAAAACCGACTAATTAAGAATGTTCGCTAATCTGTTTCAAAATAAAAAGCGTTTTAAGAAAGTGGTATAATCTGATTGAATATAAATAACGGGACTCAAAAAACGAAAAAAATCCCCCAAAAACTGCAAGATCAATGTCTTTATTTTTGAGATATCAGCTATCGAAAATTTGGCGGGAAATGATTCTCTCTTGATTTTTCACACATTTAACATTGACACCTTTCTTTTTATACAAACTAAACTGAAAAAATAATAAGATTTAAAAAAGGCTTCTCAAACTATATGTTATAAAATTGTGATAAGACAGTTAGGTCTTAGTTGGCAAAACTGTTTCATGGCACCACATGGACTATACGAGAGGATTTTTGAATATCTGATAAAAAGTCAAAAACAAGATAAGCAAACATCCTTAAACATGTGTATTACTTTGCGAAGATACATTATTGAATTTCAGGAAAATTTAAAGGTAACGGTATGAAGAGACCTAAACAATATCTAAATCCTTTCCATGTTGAAACAAATTGTCCTTGATATTGATCAGCATATTTACTAGTTACTTCTAAGTTCGGATATATGTTTGAGTTATATCTCAAATCTCGTGTTGTATGATTAGTGACATGTATCGATCAACATTGACAATGTGGACACTGTATATATGCAGAACAAAAGGTTGTTTAAAATGTTGGCTGAGTAGACTGGATCAAGTGACAGTCAGGTGTGTTTACAACTTTTGCAAGCTTTAAAAGTAAATGCACATCAAAGTCCATGAATTGTTTGCTTTTCTGAATCAGAACATGCAATTGTATTTAGTTGTTTATGTCCTACCTGTCATTAAAACTATGTCGTGCATAGGTTTTCTAAAATAAGAGTTTTTTTGGTGGTGTAAATACGGTCAAATTGGTCAATTCTTTATGATGAAATTTAAAACATGTTTAGAATAAACCGAAATGTTCTCGAGATTTTATAGTAATGGTTACTGCATAAACGATAAGAAGTTCCAGTGACGAAAAGTCTAGTGGTAAGCATTATATAGTATCATCATCAGTTATGAAATTCATTTTGCATAAGATGCATTGCTCTTGAACTTTTCAAAGACCTCATCGGTATTCTCAAGGTAGCTTGCTCAACCCGGATGTGGGATATCGTAGGTTCGGCTGTTCAAGGTAGCACTCCACAGTTAGGAAACAAAATTAAAATTAACCCAAAAATTTTTAATTATCTTATATTCCTTGCATTCCAATACATTAAGTCAACTGTTAGTGTAAAACTTGTGCATGTGTATGTAATAGATTTGATTTTCAACAGTTAAAATAGTGAAATACTATTCCTTTGTTGTGTATCCATATGTTTATTTACCATTAACAATTGCAAAAAGGGGCATGGAAATGTCACATAATCCACTAAAATTTGATACAAACTAAAATTTCAATCCCATTGAGTGATACTTTTTCTGAAACTATTGACATTAATCTATCAAATGATTAAATAAAACTCTAATGTCTTTCTCCTGATATTTTTCGTAAAATTTAATCACAAAGTTCGTACGACAAAAGGTGGAAAACACATTACAATAATTTCTGGACCAATGTTCGGATTGGACATGATAATACAGACTGTCATACAGAAAACGGACCATAATACATACTGTGGATTTATTCATTTTCGTGGGTACCAATTTTCGTGGATTAAAATAAATTTATATGTTCGTAAATATTTAATTTCGTGGTTTTGCCCAAGTCTGCAGACAAGCCTATAGGAAATTTGTTATTCGTAGAACATTTCATTTCGAGGTTCACCTGTACCAATGAAATCCATGCAAATTGATATCCCAAGAATAATAATGAATCCACAGTATATTACACAATCTTAATATTCATAAAAACCCACTTTGAAATCTATATTTATCTTCGTCAATCCAAAAATGAATTTTATTGCACACTAACTTTTATATTTGAATCATACGACGGGCTAAAATGCGAAACTACACACCTAACTGCGGATTTCTACCCAAACCAAAGTTTTAAAAGGATAGTTGCTCCCTCTGCGGAAGCAATACGGCAGTAGCAATAATGAGTAAGAGCAAATGCTGACGGGCTCGGAGTCAGTATAATGTTTCGGGTAGGTTGACATGTTTTTGCGGCATTTATAATATGAGAACGAACTAGCAAGTTAAAAATCTTACAAAGTGTTTCGATCTTGTACAAAGCAGGCTCTATATTCACATTTCATTAACCTGTTATATTCATGTAATTCGCCATTGGGCAGCCATATATCCATCAACGTTTCAAATTTTCTTGTTTCCTTTTTCCTATCACTGACAAAACATATGGTCGAAATATGCATGTGTTCTACTAAAAAAAAACAGGTCATTGTATTGTATTGAAATCATCCAAGTAATTAGTGGGAAATGTACATTTTAGACAAAACTTAATTTGTTAAGAATTGTCTCTTTCCATGTTTTGCACGGATTTTACTTGAAATATTATGATTTATTTTAAAATATTTGAAAAAAATATATCCATATGATGTCATTTGTGAAATTTGTAAGTCAATATATATGTTTTATAAGTTCAGTTTCCTAATTAATCTGATGTAACATTTACGTCATTGTTTCGAATACCGAGAAATCGCTTATAAAAATTTCACAACAAATGCTACAGATTATAACGAGAGTTATATACAATTTTGATAGCTTTTTAAATATGTCCAAAAGTTGTTTCTTTAAAGTCATACTTACTTCTTACTTTAAAACAAATTATTCACATCATAAGCAATTTACAAAAATATACAGAAAAGTGATCGCATAATTACATTATATATCAATTTTCATGTTAATATGTCAAATTATACTGGTTGGTAGCGACAACCAATAAGTTAATATAAATTATACAAGGTTAATATATTGCACAGATGTTTTGATATACCATGATATATATTCTTTACATTGATATAGGAAAAACGAACTTGCAATGAAGGCTATGGAAAAAACAATATCACTTATTTTACAAATAATTGTATTGTCGACTGTTCATGTAAATAGTAAACCTTGTTCGCAGTCCAATTCGGAATGTAAGCAAGTAAGAATGCCACTGATTTCCAACGACCTAAAAGCACCGCTTGTAGCTGAATTTGATATAACTTCAGTGAACCAACAGTTGGAAAGTTACATCAACGATGATATTAAATCAACATTTTCTGAGGAGATTCAAGACATGGTAAAAAATGAGAAAGACGAGACAAAGACATCCATGTTACAAGATTATTCGTTAAAACTGAACACGACAAAAAAAGAATACGACAAGCGATTTTCAAATATAATTCAAAATCTTAAGGCCAAGCAAAGGGAGATAAAGCTTGAAGTATCTGAAGTTTACAAAAACTTAAGTGAAAGTAAATCTACCTTTAATACTGAATTAACAGATTTGTTAAGTGGGTTTGAACACAGACAAGAAAGTTTGAAATTAGCAATGTTATCAGAATATCTATCGAAGCTGCAGCAATCACAAGACTCTAACAACCAAAAATTTCACGATCTTGCGAGTGACCTAAAATCTCAATTTGCTAATTTGTCACAAGAACTTAAAGAGGAATTCATGAAAAGTACTACTAATTTGCAAATCCAAAGGCAGGAATTAGAAGAATGGAAAACAAATTTGATGGAAACATTAAATGGTAAGATGTTCCTTTAGGTATTTGTTGTTTTCGTGTCTTTTATTGTAGCGGACATTATGAAATAAATCAGATCTAGCTAAACAGTAATAGTGTGAATATTAAATGAAGGTACATGATTTCCGTTAAGATAAGAAAAGCCTTTTATAAGAACATAAAATAAAAATCAGTACAGGAAAACAGTAAACACTATGATAACGATATAAAAGGAAAAACAATCACCGAAACCGCAAACCGATTAACTAATTGAAAATTGTTTCTTAGTTATCATTATTATTTATTGCTTTATGTTTCGCTTCATTTTTTAGTGTTAAATTTCATATCAGTGACATGAAAAATAATATTGGAAGTGCACATATGGTGAATAAATTAAAAAAGGAAAGTCCCCAATCAAATGGCAAAATCAAATAAACAAACACATCAAACGAATGGATAACAACTGTCATATTCCTGACTTGGTACAGGCATTTTCTTATGTAGAAAATTGCAAATGCAATTTCGTTGACGTGCCGTTTATCCTATTACCTGTAGACTCTAACAAATAGTTTTTAGCAAATTATTAATGATTTCAAAAGCGTTCTATATCAAATTTTGAAAATTCAAAAACTAAACATTTGGAAATATTTGAAATTGGGTTTTTTCTTTGATAATTACATGCTTTACTAATTAGAAATGTCAAGATTGTCGTAAAAATAATGATATGGAAAACAAACTTATGCCAAGAAATTATCTTAACAACATTAATTTTCAGATACACTTGCACCAATTGAGTACAAGTACAAGGACTGCAGCTATATGAGAGGCGATAAAAACAAACGAAGTGGAGTATATACCATATATCCGGATGAGATAAATGGGATCAAGGCTTACTGTGATATGTCTACTGACGGCGGAGGATGGACCGTATGTTTTATTGTTATTTAGTATGCATATATTTAGATATATCATGTTTCATTGACAACAAAACGCTTGTCTTGTGTATCAAATTCTAACCTCCACTGATTCGATGCACAACAGGTGAAAGTTTTGTACCCGTACAGTGTATAAGCAATCAAATACTTGGTACGTTTTTGATACATTTTGTAGCATGACATTTCATTGACATGTCGTTACACTTGAAAAACAGATTTCTACTCACTGGCTTAGGTGACCTTATGCAATATCACCGAAACGTTTTCGAATTTTGGTGTATACACCTCTACGAGTTCGTATATAATGTGGCTTTCAAGTTTTTATTATTCGAGCTTACCTATTTAATCGGGTTAAAAGAGGGGCGAAAGATATCAGAGGCACATTCAAACTCATATGTCGAAAATAAACAGAAAATGCCATGGCTAGAAAAGAAAAAAACAAATGGACAACAATAGTACACAAAACATAGAAAACTTAAGATTGAGCAACACGAAACCCAAGACGTTTTTTACACGAAACGCGCGTCTGGCGTATCACATGAAAGTCCCTTTTTTTTCGGTGATTTTTTTTCGGAGTGTTAAGCACCTGCTATTTACATTATACGTGTTATATGAATTCAAAATACTGAGTTGTCTGAAATAATTGCATGAAATAAAAAAACATATTTAAAAACAGTTAAAATCTAATAAAAAATTGACACTATCATTTTTAGATTTTAGTTGGAATGCAAAATCTAAGAAGTTAAAAAGCATTGACATCGAAAATCTCCAAACAAGTTGGCCACTTAAGGCAGTCTAAATAGGAATATTTTACAACATATAACATGTATTACAAACAAATAAAAATGTCAAAATATTAAATGCAGAAAAAAAAATAGATTTCTCATTACTTGTTCTAATGAATATTCGTTGTTCAAAAATCCCTTATGTTTAATTTTTGAAAATATGAATACTTTCAGTGACTGGTGTTCAAATCAACGATTCTTCATAGTATAAACCATTATATATTTAGTAAGCAATACACAATGTTGTATTATTGAACTTGAATTAAACTTTCCGTTGCTTCAGTTTGTGTAATTCATCAATTGCGGAATTACGGTTGACAATTTAACTCGATTTGTTTTTTTCTTTCTTTAATGCATTTTCAGATAACAAATCATATTGAGAAAAAAAAAACGAATAAAAAAATCAATCTTTTAAAACCATACTTTCTTAAAAACAATCTAACTGAAGTAAATCTTCATTTTGTAGGAATTTTGATTTATCGTCAAGTGGTTTTTGATGCTAACGTGAACTGTACACAACATACAAGCAATGAGCAAATTTGTATGTTTACTTTATGTAATAAAAACAAATTGAAAATGTTCATTTTGAGTAATATAGAATTCATTAATGTTGTGAACATTTAATGGAAACATAATAGTAATTTTGTTTTCATCGTTCATTTTCTTAGAAATGGATACTTTATTTCGTATACTTGATTGTAGGTATTTCAAAGAAGAATAGACAGAAAGACGAGCTTTGACAGAAACTGGATAGATTATAAGGAAGGCTTTGGTGATCCACAGAAGGAATTGTGGCTTGGTAAATTTAATCAGTTCAATAATGACAAAAATGAATCAATGTCAAATTTGGAATTGATTCTGTCATATTTAAAGATTGCTTTCAATTGTTTTTTTTCAATTTTCGTGGATCATTGAAATTGAAGATTTTTTGTTTATGTTGACTGTCATTTATGCTATAGTTATCTTATATGGGTTATTTCTGTGTATAAATATCTAATAACATTGTTGGATTTTTTAACATTTTAGAAAAAGTGTTTTTAAAGGATTAATTGGTTTATCAGGATAGTATCTAGTTTTACAAAAAAAAATTAATGGCGAGAAATACTACTATTATATTTACCCTTTTTAGGTAACAAATATTTAAACATTCTTACAAGTAAAGATAAATACGAACTGAGAGTTGACCTTACTGATAAAAACAACAAGAAAACATATGCTCTATTCAAAACTTTTATTGTTGGAGACGAGAATTCAAAGTACAAACTCACCATTGGAGATTACAGTGGAACCGCCGGTAAGCTCTCAAGAATCAATGGAAAAATGTATTAACAATATTGAAAAGACAGTTTATACATTATTGTGCAGCACATAACATCGTTGATTTTTCATTTCTTACTATCTAGTGAGGAGTATTATTATCGGTGCAGATTTATACTAAATTTGTTTGATAAAAAGTGACCTCATTATTTGTAAGCTTAAAATACAAAGGTACAGCTTCCAACATGAATTGAACAGTATTTTAGTTCTTTGAGAATCTGGCCGAAATATGCACTGAAGTATCACCACTGTCATTCACCGAGTTCACAATGTAATGCAATTCTGAAATAATAAAGGATAATAATTAAAAAACACCACTTTTTATAATATATCAACTGAACAAATTGTTCTTGATCATCTGAAACGCATTGTTTTTGGTTTTAACATATAACTAATCTGAACATGTTTAACGCCGCCACATTTTCGTGCCGACCGAAGTCAAGAATATCTAACCTGTGTTAGTCTTTTGTGTTCTTCAGTATGTTTATTCTATATGAGGTATTCCCCATTATTTACCCTAATACGTTGTATTTCATTGGAATACAAACAATTTGCTAAACTTGTACCACATTTACATTTAAAGGTTTCTGTAAGCAAGGCCAGTCTCAACAGAAATTCCGAAAGTCTCTTTCGGAGAAAGAGTTTCAGTCATAATTTAAGCGCTAACTATGCGTACTGAAAACGGAACTAATTCGTCTGCGGTACCAAAGTTACCCGTTTGACAAGGCGAAAGAACCAAGTCAAGATTATATCTACCGTATGAAAAAAAACTAACATTTACGGTACCAATAGTAGTTCATCAGATACCGAATTAGACAATTAATGTCTCTTCATAGGTGCTGGAGGCCAAAATAATAAAAAATCCAAAATAAAATACAGACGCTGAAGATCTTATTAAACCAAACAGGACATAAATTGGAGTAAGACCAGGTTATTGTATCGGAGCTATGCATAAGGGAAATAATTCTATAATTCAAAATGATTTCTTAAATTTAATAACTGAAAAAAATGAAACAAAAATACAATATTAAAATGGACCATGCTGATAACTTTATATTTCATCATTTGCACAAATGACACATTGCCAAACGAAACTTTAAACAATTTCCTAAGATACAACGTAACTACAATATTTACCAGTAATACATAGATGTTTGTTTTAGTCACCAATTAGACATTTAAGCTTAGTACTGTGTTGAAGTTTTGTTATTTGTTGACGCGGTTGTCTTCTAGTTACAATAATTGTGGTAAGTATATTTCTTTTGCTTTTCTTTCAGGTAATTATATGGCTCACAACAACGGTAGAGCGTTTAGTACAAAGGATAACGATAACAGTCATAAATGTGCTGTCGGTCATGGCGCATGGTGGCATGGTGCATGTAGTAATTCATGGCTCAACGGCATGGACTCTAAACACTATTATTGGCATGGATATAAATATAATAAAACTAAGATGATGATTAGAAAAATATTGTAAAAGTTCAGAAAAAACGATGATGAAAAAAACGGAATATGCTTACTCTATTTTGTTTGTTTTCTTGAAATCTGATTAGAAATATAAAAAAATACAACAAATGTAATCAAGTGCTTTAACTCTAACAAATGTGTATTGGTGAGAGACTGTTAGTCGGCTTCTAGATGTGTTTTAACAATATAGATATAAGAAGATGTTGTATGAGTGCCAAGGAGACAACTCTCCATCCAAGTCACAATTTGTAAAACGTAAACCATTATATGTCAAAGCATGGCATTCAACACGTAGCAAGCTACAAAGGGTCTCAAAACGACTAGTGTAAAACAATTCAAACAGGAGAACCAAAGGTCTAAATTATAAAAAACGAGAAACGAGAAACATTTATGAACCATATCATCAAACGACAACCACTGAACAACAGGTTCCTGACTTAGGACAGGTGCAAACATGTTTACAATTTGGTTTCTGACTCATTAATGTGAACCTTACGTATGATATTTGTTAAACAAACAAAATTTGAAATCTATCATTGCTATCGGAGATTTGTTAATAACCAAACTTTCTCATTACAATGTGAACCAAAAATATACAATTCTGAACTTTACGACGGATTAAATAATAGACCATTGTGACGTCAAAATTATACCTTTTAAAGTAAGAACGGCTGGCCACCTTAGCACCAGGTGTGGTTTTTTTTTATAACTTTGAGCAGAATTACGGAACTATCGCTTTAACAATTCATAGCTTTCAAATATTTGGCATTGAGCGTTCCTAATGACGGTAAATCCTAATGAAGGTGAAGGAAAAGCGCTTCGGACGCATGAAATTTATAACGTGTTGTTTTCATTTTTTACAGCACTGGGTCGATACCTCCGCTGGTAGACTATCAGTCCCCGAGGGTATTATCATTTGGGTAGTCAGTACTTCGGTACTGACATGGTTTATAACAAACGTTTTTAAAATTGTCCATTTCTAAATTTGAAATTATTTGGGACTAAGTTATCGACTCCCTCAGGCAAATTTGCACATGGATTTTGGCTCTTTTAAATTTTAGGTTCATTTTGGTCGTATAGCTTTTCAACTGTTTCGGTTTTTATACATCCTTGGCTTTCATATATTTGTCATAACGAATACCAAAAGTTACAGTGATAAAGAATAAAATTAAAATATTCGGACAAATACCCATCTCGTCTAATACTAGTTTTCTATGATAGCTTCATCACACACAATAACTGACTATCATTACGCATATTCAATAGGATATGTGTTCCCTTTTGCCATAAAAACATCTATGTTACTTTTGCGTACAGCAAAGTTTTGTATGCTGCTCCAATTAATGTTGCAATACTATACACATGATACTTTCAATTTTGCAATCGTGTACAGCAGATTTTGTTTTGAAATACTTAACGCATCTGCATTACCGATAGTTGGTGGCAAGTTTTTTCAATATGTTACGATGTTGCGACTTTTTCATTGGCAACTTGTTGGTTCATTTATGACCTTGAAAGGTAACATTTCATCCACGGTAACAGAAATTTGGAATTTTTCCAATAGTACACAAAACACTCACATATATCACCTGGAAATATTATATTTCTTAATTTTAATTCCATTCTGCAAAGTACAAAAATCTTGAACAAAAAACTAAACATATTTCAATAAAATCAAGTATCGTTTTGTGTTAAGATAAGATATGTTGTTAACTTTATAGAAACTCACTTTCTCAAGACCGAACCTGATTTTAAAATTCTAATTGAATACGTACTATTTACATGGTTTGAAATTGTACATGTATGGGTGAAATACTGGATCGCTGAGGTGAAAAGGAAAGTTGAGAAGTACATGGAACAGCAGGTGTGAAACTTCAATTTACAAACATTTCTAGCTTTATAATCGAGTTTAATTGCAAGAATGTTAAAAGGCAAACTACCATTATTTTTTGAATATTTTTATAAACGACAATTTATCTTTAAATCGATTGAGATTAAAAACTAATCTTTGACTCTTCATTATTGCAATTAATTGATGCGAAGAAGTTCTACTTTCAGACAAAGGAAATAACCTGCTCCTAATTTCATTTTGGAGTACCACGAATCAGTCACAAAATGGTCATGAATTTCACGAAAAGGATACTAGACAAACAAATGTTCTTGTGAAAGAACATGAACCCACACCACTTGTAATGAGGTGTCATTTTTTGTTTTTAATTTTGTTTTTATTAGTTTTTTTCGTTGCTTTCGACTCTACGTTTACACTACAATTATTCTTAATCTATTGGGTTGTCAGGGGTATGGAGATAAGGTAATTATTGAACTTCTATTAATAAATCTAATTCAAAAGCAGAAAGTATGATTGTCTGTGCGTAGAAACACTGTACACAGCCACGTCCGTTCAGAATGGATATGCCACGCTTTCTTAGAGAATCCTTGCAATAACTTTTAAGGGTCTGTGTAGGTAGCCTGTCGTTAGGCAAAATGTAGTCTCCTATCTCACAGACTTATATGATTATTGACTGGTAGTAGTCAAAACTTCCGCTCTTTATTCCGCTCGACTCATTACAGAACCTTACCATCAGATTTAATGTACATATGTTCTCGTCCGTAAAATTCATGAAATATTTGTCACTGGATATTAATTAGACAACAAACAAATCAAATTTATTATTTTTGACACACAAAAAAAAAATCAAAAATAATTACCGACATTGTTTTAGATGTATGTGTTTGCATAATGTGCAAACAATTATATAGAAGAGAATGTCTCCAATGTGAACTTATGGGAGAACATTAGTTTTCTATTTTGAATTGTTTTGCATTTGTTATTTCGGGACCTTTTATAGCTGACTATGCGGTATTGGCTTTGCTCATTTTTGAAGGCCGTATGGTGACCTATAGTTGTTAATTTCTGTGTCATTTGGTCTCTGTGAAGAGTTGTCTCATTAGCAATCATACCACATCTTCTTTTTTATTATTATGGGAGAAGCATGTTTTAATGTGATTTCATTGTAACTATACACGAGACACTTAATCCATTGGATGTTGGATGTGTACAGATTGATATTTAAGTCTTAGATACATGATTGTTTTATTAGTTGTTATTAACCTTGAACTAGCTCTAATGTCTTTAGTGTCGTTTTTGTTGTAGGAATGTATAAATACCCCGACACGTCCGGTCTGTAAGTTTGTTACTCCTTTTTCTGCTTTGCATCGATCTGATGCGTAAAGCCCCTTTTCACTGTTTTTTTTATAATTTGTTCATATATTATGCTGTTACATCACTGTCCCAGGTTAAGAGAGGGTTGGGCGTCCATAAACTTGTTTAACCCCGCCACATTCTATATGTGCCCGTCCAGGTCATGAGCCTATAATTGAGTGGTTGTCGTTTATTGCTGTTTCTCATATCTGTTTTTCGTTTACTGTTTTGTATAGATTATTCTTGTGTTGTGCAGTTACAACATTGTCCCATGTTAGACGAGGGGAGCAGCCTACTAATATGTTTAACCCCACCACATTCTGTAATTGCCTGTTCTAAGTCAGTTGCCTGTAATTTAGTGGTTGTCGTTTGTTTTTGTATATCATATTTGTTTTTCGTTCATTGTTTTGTGCATAAATCAGGCCGTTAGTTTTCTCGTTTGAATTGTTGTACATTTGTTATTTCGGGGCCGATTATAACAGACAATGTGATATGGGTTTTGCTTATTGCTAGGGCCTTACGATGACCAATTGTTTGGGCACTATTAGCAATTAATTTTCCATAGGTGGTAATGGTCACATTTTCTTCTGTAGCTCAGTCCACATCGTTAACTTGGATATGTATGATGGCTCGTTTTGAAGCTGAGACATTTTCACATACATGACATATGTGGTTAAATTTTCGGGGTACGAAGTGTGATTCATTTTTCCGTCAATTAGCATACCCCGAAAATCCTTTCGTGATGCGGCTCCTTGTGGTAAAAAATCCCTTTTTTCACATAATAATTTCTTTGACAATTTAATACACCAAATTCATTTAATAACTCCATAGTTTTTATACATTTATTCTATGGTCGTCTACTTTCTAAATCAACACAAATAGTTAAGCTCCGTCACTTGTTACAAATAGAAACATGTCCAATAGCACTACACAGAGATCTTTTATTTACCCACAACTTTTGAGTTCCTCAATTTGAGGCCCATTAGGGATATTGACTCAGTTGTTAACTTCTGTGTCATTTGTGCTCTGGTAGAGAATGGTCTCATTGGCAATCAAACAACATCTGTGTGATGCTGTCACTTTCTAAAGAATTTTAAGAACCCGTTCAATTTTTGTTGATATGCAAAGACCTCATTATGTTTTTCCTAGGTGCTAGCAAAATATTTTGAAATTCGAAACAAAATCGTCTATTTGAATTTATAATAATCTATCCTGCTGGAAAGAATCAAAGGCAAAAAAAAAAAATAAACGTCGATTTTGCAGCTTCACATCGTCAGAGTTAACGCGAATTTTGTCTTTCTGAGTAATGTGACATACATATCTAGACGATTACTGTTATAATGAAGAAATGTGCGGTCAATCCATAAAAATCTTATGTAATGACAACAGAAAGTAGTAGCATGTAACTGTCCAGTTCTCATCAGTAGTTTTCTTATGCAATATAATCAAGTATTTTGTGTTGATTGCAGATCTTTGACTGATTATGTTTGATTATTTAGAACTTCTAACCTCTCTTATACATTTCATCACCGATTTTAATATAATCTTTGCTTTTGATACTCAAATTTTTTTGATGGCAACTTGGACTGACACTTCTGTTATGTTATAGATGAACAGTCTTAATATTTGATTTAAATCATCATTTGTTTTTTTCTTTTCATTTCCTTGTTTCTGTTAAGACCAAGGCTTAAAACTATCTAATACTGAATATTACGGAAACAGCAAAAATTCGGGGTACAAAATAAGAATCAATTAAATATTTCATTGTAATAATATACAATAATGATCGTTATTCCTTCTCTTACAATAGAATAAGAAATAACAAAGAAAACTAAAAAAATAAATACGTTTTACGTTTAACACTGCTTTACTTGATACCAATATCTATAAAAGGTATAATTCTTTTAAAAT